TGAATGCCCAGATTAAGGCTCCACAAGATCCTTCTCTCTCTCTCAGTGAATGGTTAAGTTCCTGGTTTGAAGGAGGACTATGGCCAAAAATTAAAAATCTCCTTTTCGGGCTTCTCATTCTTATCGCCTTATTAATCTTAATATGTTGCTTTGTTCAATGTTTCTCTAATTTTTAATCCACCTTGCCCACCTTTCTTTTAAAAAAATTGGGTTGTGCAATTTGTCCTTCTACACTGCCTCAGGCCAAATCCAAAAGAGGGTGGGCTGCTGTGATGAGGGAAGTGTCCGTGATGATGATAGTCTTCAGTAGCAAAGAACAGAAAATTCCAATGTAAATGGATTTAACAAAGGAGGAAATTTATTTAATCCAATAACAAGAAATCCAAGGTCGAACTTCCATGAAAACCACATAACTAGAACCTCAGTTCCATTTCTCTGCAACTCATTTGGCTTAGACTGTGTGTGTTGGTTTTGTCCTCAGGCTGGCCTCAGCACATCCTCAGCATTAAGATAAAGCAACATCCAAAGGGAAGAGTTGTGTTTCTTTGCTTTTTAAGATAAGAAAGATTTCCCCCAAATTTCCAGAATGTCTCTTTCAGGCAATCTTCATTCTCTTCAGATGTCTCTGACGTCCTACTGGCAAAAATTTATGTCACAAGTCTGTGTCTACACTACTCACTGGATGAAGGGAAAAAAACAGTGTGATTGGTCTACACCACTTAGCACTCACCTGTGGGGGCTGGAATAAGTCTAGAATCACTGACGCATAAGGACATGCTTGGGTACTATTAGAAAAGAAAGGAAGTACTTTAGGCTATTGGGAGTACTTGCTGCAGTTTTGAAACCAATGTAACTTTCTGCCAAAAGCAACTGTAATCCACGAAGAGCACATTAAAAAAGGATGAGATAGGGGCGCCTGGGTGGCTCAGTGGGTTTAAGCCTCTGCCTTTGGCTCAGGTCATGATCCCAGGGTCCTGGGATGGAGCCCCGCATCGGGCTCTCTGCTCAGCAGGGAGCCTGCTTCCTCCTCTCTCTCTGCCTGCCTCTCTGCCTACTTGTGATCTCTGTCTGTCAAATAGATAAATAAAACCTTTTAAAAAAATGAGATAATAATGTTTGGTCATTGTATAATAACGAAACAGTAGAGTGGCAAGCCTTAGGGATAAAGAAATCCAAAGACTGAGGCGCTGCCATGTCCTGTATTACAAATTACACATATTCAAAGGCACATAAATCTTTGCCTTTGAGGTAGACTGCCTAAACACCCTAGAAAGAGAATACTATAGAGTGAAAATATTGGGACTCCTAATTACACATAAATCAGAAGGTATGTAGTGTCTTACATATTTGTTTGAACCAGAGGGACATCTGCAGTATGCCAAAGGACACAAGAAAGGAGAGTGTAGCTTAGAGAATCAAAATACCTGGACAAGTCAAATCAAGAGCAATCTTGGTCCACACATCCAAGAAAACATTTAGAATGCTTCAGAAACCAGAAAAGCACCTCCCCCAACTCACAATTTTCATTTCTTGTGGACATAGTAGAGGGAATAGGAAACACACATGGACAAACTGTGCTGACTGGCACGTCAGTAGACCTGGCCAATAATGAATTTCATTTTTGTTCACCGTCTTTCAAGTGGGCATGTTCTTCAGTGATGTTGGGCATAGAAGGTTAAGTCTTGACCATCTAAGCTGTCATGGTGGTCTCCCTCCCCTCACTTGTGGTTGCTTTAGGCAGGAACATGTGACCCAGTTTTGGCCACTGACACATGGGGAAATCTAAAGGAGATCTTCTTCATGAGATACTGGGGCAGCTGATCAACATCTTAGAACAATAGGGGGGCTAGCCTAAGAGAATAAGTTAATGTGTTAAGGATGGCAGAACAGAAAGAAGGAATTTGGTTCATCACAACATTGCTGAACTGGTCAATAAACCAAAGCCATCCTTGCTTTGGGTTTCTTTGTAGAGGAGACAATAATTAGCCCATTCTTTAAACCAATTTTAGTCAGATTTTTCTAACCAAACAACAGGGGGAAACTAAATAATGGAGATGGAAGCTGAGATGCTAGGAAAGCCTTGATAGAAGACTATGAAGGAGATAGGTTTCATTTTGCTGAAATCAGATCCCTAGAAAGTAATATGCACGTAGTGCTGGGATGAGTGGGTTTTCTTAATCCCAATGATTTATGCTGCTTTTTAAATATAATGACAAGGGGCACCTGGGTGGCTCAGTGGGTTAAAGCCTCTGCCTTCGGCTCGGGTCATGGTCTCAGGGTCCTGGGATCGAGCCCCGCTCTCAGGCTCTATGCTCGGCGGGGAGCCTGCTTCCTCCTCTCTCTCCACCTGCCTCTCTGCCTACTTGTGATCTCTCTCTCTCTCTGTCAAATAAATAAATAGATGTCTTTAAAAAAAATATATATATATAATGACAAAAAATAAATAAATATAATGACAGTATCCTGTACAGACTGTGGGTGTGTTCACGAAGGCCGTGGGTGAAACCAGGAATAAGAAAGGATGATCTACTGATCTATCTGTAAAATGAAAACAGGATAATGTACAGCATGGTGACCATAGTTACTAATACCGTATTGTATATCTGAAATTTCCTGTGAGAATAGATGCTCTCACCACACACACACGCACACACACACACAAATTGGTAAGTATGTAAGGCGATGGATAGATGTGTTAACTAACCTACTTGTGTAAATCATTTCATAATGTATATGTATATCAAATCATCAAGTTGTACACCTTAAAATTTATTCAGTGTTATTTGTCAATTATATCTCAGTAAAGCTGAGGGGGAAAATGAGAACAGGCTTTAAGGAATCAAACCCAACTGCAGACTGGGAAAATTAAAAATAATGGTCATCAAAATAACACCCAAGAGATGAGTTAGATAGCAGTTTGGACACGGCTGAAGCACAAATTAGTGAGGTGAACAATTCAACTGTAAAGTTCTCCAAGATTACAGGGAGCTTGGGACAGCAGGAGGAGGGACAAAAAATATATATATATGAGAAAAATTTAATACTCATGGAAGATCTATTCAGAAACTCCAAAATTCTCCTAATTGGAGTTCCAGAAGGAGAGAGTAGAAAAAACGTAAAGATTAAAATGATCATAAGAGTAATAGAAGCAGATATCTAAAGCTGAAGTCAGGTCGCCTGGGTGGCTCAGTTTTTTAAGCCCCTGCCTTCGGCTCAGGTAATGATCTCAGGGTCCTGGTATGGAGCCCTACATAGGGTTCCCTACTCAGGGGGGGAGCCTGCTTCTCACTCTGCCCTTCCTCCCACTCGTGATAGATTTCTCTCTCTCTCTCTCTCTCTAAAATAAATAAATGAAATCTTTAAAAAAATAAATAAAGTGGAAGACAACCATGTCTTGAATTTGGAATAGACTATACAGTACCAAGTAAAATGAATTAACATAGTAATGATAAACCCACCCCTACTTATATCTTGAAGAAATTTCAGAACACTAGGAAGAAAAAATTGTAAAAAATTTTCAGATACAGAAAAAATAAAAATAAAATAGAATTAGGAAAATTTGAACAAAAGGAGAAAAAAAAATCCCATGAAGTAAGAAGACTCAGAGTTCTCACTGACAACAGTGGATGCCAAAATAAAAAAGTCAAAGTCTAGTAACATCAAATTCTTCAAGTATAAAATTCATTATTGCAAAGCGAGCAAAATAGAGATATTTTTAAATTTGTTAAGATTCAGGTGAATAGGAATCTTTTAAAATAATTACATGAGTTTGTCCTTTAGGAAATGACCAAATGAAAGATAAAGCCAAGAATTTAAAAGACAGGCTGTAAGGAACTATAAGCAGGAAGGACACGTTGAAGCATAGGTGTATGTTAAATATGTATTTATTGTGAAACGAATCAGTAATCTGAAATTAATGGAGCTGTCATGGAGAAAAAAATTCAATACCTGCCAAAGTTCTTGCCTTTGGGGGAAGAAAGGTAAATATATTGATTGTATCTTTTATTTTTTAGCTTTTTATATGAAAAGTTACAACCACTCATAAAAAATATTATAACAAACTTCATTATAGCCACAATCTAGAAGTAATAATTATTCACATTTTGCCATATTTCTATAGTATTTTAGAAAAATTCCCAGATATCACAACTCTTCACCTTTAAATATGTCAGTATACATCTTTATCTAAAAGTGACTTTTTACATAACCACAATACCATTTTGACAGCTAACAAGATAACAGCAATTTCATAGTATCCTTTAATATCCAGTCCATATTCAGATTTTTCTAATTGTCCCCAAAATGTTTTTTTACAGTTATTTTGCTCAAACCAAACCCACAAATAGCATTTGGTTGATATGTCTCTTAAGGCTTTTTTTAATGCTTGATAGTTCCATAGTTCACTCCAATGCCAAAAGAAAAAAAAGCTGGGGCGGGGGGTATTGCATAAAGGAAAAATCCCCAACTTTTTCATGAAACCAGCTTCTGAAAAAAAACAACAAGTCAATTGCTAATTAACTTATGGTAAGACCAGATTATACAATGACCCACAACCTGGATTTGTTTGTCTCTTTGTAATATTGTTTAACTGGTCTCTAGGCACTGTATCAATAAGAAGTTTGATGTAAAGGTTTGATTAGGTTCAAGTTTAGTAGCGTTGTTAGAAGTAATCTAAGTAGTGCTAGGCACTCCACCTTACATCTCGTCATGAAGCACATTATGTAAAAATGACCATTTTAAGAGATGTTAAGTTTGATCCGTGGGTTCAGGTGGTAACAGTCTGATCCTCAACTGCAAATTTCCTTACCCCTTCCCCTTAGTTGATACCTTGTACTTTGATAAAGTTATTCTTGGGTTTAAAGGTGGGGGAGTAGTAAATCAGGAACTACCTAGAAATTAACAAAATGAGAACACTGCTAGAAAAATAAACACAAAAAAATTGGAGATGGAATGAATTTATTTTAAAACAACAGAAATCAAGGAATCAGGACAAAAAGACTTGACCAAGAAACAAACCAAAAATTGTTCTTGGAAAAGATCCACAAAATAGAAAAATATTTGGTAAATCAGGTTGAGAGGAAAAAAGAGAAAGAATGCAAATAATAGGGGATATGTGCAAAATTATAAGTGAAAAATGTGTTCTAGAAAATATGGGTGAAATTCTGAGAAAATAGGAATGACCAGGTTGGCTCCAAAAGAAATTTTTTTTTTAAGATTTTATTTATTTATTTGATAGAGATTACAAGTAGTCAGAGAGGCAGGCAGAGAGAGAGGAGGAAGCAGGCTTCCCGCTGAGCAGAGAGCCAGATGTGGGGATCCCAGGACCCTGGGATCATGAACTGAGCCGAAGGCAGAGGCTTTAACCCACTGAGCCATCCAGGCACCCCCAAAAGAAATTTTAAAACCCATATTAGTCAATATGAGAAAAATCATCTAGTAAAATCAGACACAAAAGCAACATGAGTCCATCAATGAATGTAATTCACCACATTAACAGATTGAAGGAAGAAAGCATTATGAAAATAATTATAGTCAATTCTGATACACTAATTGTTACATACCTGGGCTAATCTAATTGCTTTAAGTATATTAACTAACTTCAATAACTAATTTCAATAAATGCTATAAAAGCACGTGATTAAATTCAATCCCGTTCCTGATTAAAGTTGGAAAAAGGAATATATTTTATGGATAAAAAGAAACATCACTATTCTGAGAAAAAAAATAAAGTATCTATTGGAAATCAATAACGAGCATTACATGTGATGGTGACATTAGAACTTTTCGTATCAAATGTCAGAAACTCAATTTTAAACAGAAGTGACTTGTTTTTCCACAAGTAACTTGGAAGTTCCAGGGAATTAATCTAGATGGGCAATCCCTGGGTCCAAGGTAGCCCTACCTGGGAAGCAAAAGATAATTCAGTTTGCTAGGGCATCACAGTTTTGAGACGGCAATGTACCCTGGTGCATAGAAACTAAGATTCAGTTTACAAAAAGTTCAAATTCCATACAAATTTGTCAAATATTGATCTTGTGCCATTAGCCCTTGATTTTTGCCCTACTTTGTAACAACTGATTCAGGATAACTGTGAACCTAGAGCAGTCAGGAGAACCTCCTCTTCCCATCCTATCCCTGCCTTAGTCTTATTTTTTTGTCTCCCCACTTCATCGTCACCCTGAGCCCTGGCTCAGAGTTTGCTTCTGGCTTGAATAAGGTGTTGCCTGAAGAATTTCAGGATCTCTCCCCAGGAGTGCTCCTGAGCTGCGGCATGGGCAGTGGGGTCCCCTCCCCAGAGCAGGGGCGAAGAAAGTTTCATGTTTGGGGAAGCGTAACACAAGGGTGCGTAGGGTGGCTCGATGAGATGGCCCGCCCCCGGGTACACCAGCATCCTTCCATTGTTTCTCCCGTGGTTCTGCAGCTGGTGCAGAGCCTGCTCAGCATACTCCCTGCTCTTCAAGCATTCGTCGTTCTCTCCAACAATGAAGAGGATCGAACCCTGGGCCTTTTCGACAGGAAGCACGCTCCGCTGATTCACCTTATCCCGGGGGTCCCCTCTGAAGTGGAGGAGGCGTACGGCCCCGGAGATGTCAAACTGCAAGCGCTCCATAAACATGGGGATGGGTGCTATCACCAGATCTTTGTACCTGAGTGGAAATTCGTAGATGGCAGTGGTCCCATTGATGCAGACGGTGGCTACCACCTGCTTCAGGAAGCAGGCCATGGCCAGCCCGATCTCTGCACCTTTGCTCACGGAGATCACTCCAATTCCTGGCGTTTGGACCTGAGGCACAAAATGAAGCGAACCCATCACAGGCCATACTTGAAGGAGCTGCCTTGCAGGCCAGTAAGCTAGTGTCATGGGAATAGTCAGACATCCAATATATGGGATGGCAGTCCTAGCGCTGGGCTTTACCAGCTTCTGTGACTGAAAACATTGCCCCCTTGCCTTCTGGAAGCCTTACTGTCTTATTATCCCCATAATATTCTCTACCCTGCAGGATTGTTGTACAGATTTAGTGAAACAATAGAAATAAGAACTCTTCATCAGAGGGAGTGTTCCAGAAAAGCAAAAAGAGTTTAAATTCACCAGCAACATTCAACATCACCTGTAGAAGCAGGTAAACTTAGGAATCCAATTCTTCTCCCCAGCTAGTTAAAGAGGTTCCTGGGTCCTTTTGAGTATTATGTAGGTGTTGTTCATATTTATTTTTTTTAATTTTTTTTTTTTTTTATTTATGAGAGAGAGAGAGAGAGCGAGCACAGGCAGACAGAATGGCAGGCAGAGGCAGAGGGAGAAGCAGGCTCCCTGCAGAGCAAGGAGCCCGATGTGGGACTCGATCCCAGGACGCTGGGACCATGACCTGAGCCGAAGGCAGCTGCTTAACCCACTGAGCCACCCAGGCGTCCCAGTTGTTCATATTTAAATAGCAATTTACAGGGCCGCCTGGGTGGCTCAGTGGGTTAAGCCGCTGCCTTCAGCTCAGGTCACGATCTCAGGGTCCTGGGATCGAGTCCGGCATCGGGCTCTCTGTTCAGCAGGAACCTGCTTCTCTCTCTCTCTCTCTCTCTGCCTGCCTCTCTGTCTACTTGTGATCTCTGTCAAATAAATAAAATCTTTAAAAAATAATAATAATAAATAAATAAATAAATAAATAGCAATTTACAGGTACAGAGGTTTTGAGTATCCACTAATCCAAGAGCTAATCATGAAAGCGCTGGAAGGGTAAAAATGCAAGACTTGGATTCTATAAACAGTTGAATCCTGGCGCCCCATCTAATAGGAAGAGTAGTAAGTCCTACGAAGGGGTCCTTAATTCTGTGAAAGGCTGAGGGAGCAGAGGGAAGGAAGAAGTTTGAGAGACAAGTAGGGAAAGGAAGAGCATTTTGGACAGAGAGGGGCAAACACATGGCAACCTGATACGTTTACTTTGTTTACAGTTGTATGCCCAGGCCTGTCATCAGTTCACCTAAAAAAAAAAAAAAGTTATGTTTTGTTTTGCTTTAATTACAGCTTTCTGAGATCCAGTTTTCAAGTTTCTACTTCAATAGGTCTGAGTGGGCCCAAGAAGCTCATCCTAAGAGCATATCCCTTCCAGGAAATCCAGTGCGTTTCTACACTTGGGAAGCACTCCTAAGAGGAACAGACTGGGGAGGGAGGGAGGAGACTCTCATCACAATGGTGGCACCACACAGGGGAGCAATGAGGAGGGAGCAAACTACAGCAGTGAGTGGCAGGGAGGGTGAAGAAGTTGTGACATAGGGAGAACGATTGGGTAATAGCCCCTGAAGCCGTTTGGGACTGGTTGAGGATATAGGGAAGGGAGAGAGGGAAAAACAGATGGGCACGGATGACTAGGTGGATTTATCAAGAGTTTTCTGTGTGCTGGCTCCTCAGCTAAGTGCTTTACACACAAATGGTCTCAGCTTGCCTTTCCAATAAGAGCCTAGAGATCAGGAAGTCTACAGGTCTTGCTTAAGGTTACAATAGTATCAAGGGGCCAAGGTGGGAACTGAATCTCTTCTGATGATACTGAATCTGAATGTTGCCAGTTGCCCTTCCTCCTCAGCTAAAGTCACAATTAGTGACATTTGAAATGAAAAAAAAAAAAAAAAATTTTTTTTTTTTTTTACTTGAAAACATTTTATCTGGGATTTAATTCCTTCTAGACAGTCCTTTAAAGAGAGCCAAATATGCTTGGAAAAATCACACATCGGCCCCTGGGTGGCTCAGTGGTTAAGCCTCTGCCTTCGGCTCAGGTCATGATCTCAGGGTCCTGGGATCGAGCCCCGCATCGGGCTCTCTGCTCAGCGGGGCTCTCTGCTTCCCCGTCTCTCTGCCTGCCTCTCTGCCTACTTGTGATCTCTCTCTCTCTGTCAAATAAATAAATAAAATCTTTGAAAAAAAAAAAAAAGAAAAATCACATGTATGTTTAGTGGTGGTGACGGCAGTTTTACTGAAGGTGAAGATACTGATAATACTCCAATAGGAGACGCGGCCTCGTGTCTCCTAGAGAAGAGTCAAAGTCTCCAGGGAGAGAACGGTATGAGTCATGGAATCAGGATAACCAAAGAGTTTGGAGCAAAGGCACTGCCATAAGGGCTGTCTAGTTTTGACACATGACTTAATTTGAGGGTGCCTTCTTATCTGAAAAACGAGGATGTCAACAGAACTCACATCACGAAGTAATTGTGAGTGCTCAATAAGAGTGCTTTAAAAAAAAAAAGATCTTAGTTATTTGACAGAGAGAGACACAGCGAGGGAGGCAACACAGCAGGGGGAGTGGGAAAGGAAGAAGCGGGATGCCCGCTGAGCAGGGAGCCCAATGTGGGGCTCAATCCCAGGACCCTGGGATCATGACCTGAGCCGAAGGCAGACAGTTAACCAACTGAGCCACCCAGGTGCCCCTTAAGTAAGAGTGATTTTTGAGTATTTAGCATAGAGTCAAACAGCTGTTTAGTAACTGTTAACCTGGTATGATCGTTTTACCATGACAGGCTGAACCATAGAACATAGCTGATATTCGACCATTTTCAAACTGAAAAACCAGAATTACTATGTTTCAGCTTAACAGAATGTCAACCCAGGCACATGACCACGTGATATTTATTCCTATTATTCTGTTTTTAGTCACCAACACAAACATCAGTACTTCGAGACCTCTTCAAGAGGTCTAGATTATAATTCATCTGATATTTAATTCCTAGAAAAAAAGCTGGATTATGAGACATACTAGTTCAGTCCTTCTCATACCTGAACGTGTATCCGAGTCACCTGGGGATCTTGTTAAAATGCAGATGCTGACCGGGCTGTGTCCTGAGAGTCTGCATTCAAACAGCTCTCTGGTCCTACCAAGGCCTCTGGATCGTGGACCACATTTTGCACAGTACAACAATACTTGACAGAGTTCTAAAATGATCCTTCCTTTCTAGATTCCTTCTGTGGCTTTGGGCTTTGCACACTTGCTTGGGGCTCAGTTCTGCCCCTAGATCTGATACTAATTGATGAGCTAATTCAGCTAATCAGATGGTGTGGCCACATCCATTCTGCTGATAATTCTGCTCTCCTTCTGTGGCCCATCTCTGAAACTGAACTTCTGCGCATTCTGAGTCTCAGGACTCTTGAGGGGGACTTAACTTCAGCATTGCCCATGTAGAGACAATCACTGAAGTCTGAAACCACGTCAAGCCGGAGAATTCATCATTTGAGATCAGCAGCTGATAAAAATTGAAGAGTTACTGATGAATAAGTCATGTAAGGAGTCTTGGCTTTTTTTTTTTCCATTGAAGATAACCATAACACACCCACCGTTTACTGTCCTCTGTGCCAGTAAGCTGATCAGCAACCCAGCAATCCTACAAGGTCAACATCATCCTCACCATTTCAAGAGCAAATAGTGCTATGCCCAAATCGAAACAGATTGGTAAAATAGGCAAAACAGACATTTCTGATTGGGGGGGGCTATAATGTTACAAGCTAGAATGAAAAGTATTCTTAATTACCTTGGGATGAGCTAGTAGCAAGTTAGCAGCTTCCTCAAAGTATTCCAGGTTGATCTCCTGCAGTAACTCAGGCAGATCTTCGTAGGCAAAATACGCTAATGCCAACACGGCAAAGCCGTGCGCAGCCAAAAGACTGGCCCGAAATTCAACCAGACCCCCTCGGCCCCCAAACAAATCAATGACTCCTGGGAAAGGCCCTTCCCCTGAAAGCAACAAAAAGAAAAGAGAATGGGATCAAAAAGAGTGGAAACAGGTTCAAGTGGCTAAGAGGGGGAGTACAAGGTGAGAGAATAAATTCCACTTTCACACACACACACACACACACACACACACACACACACACACACAGTGGCATGTTGGTTTTAAATTGCTGTGGGAAATACTAGTTCTCCAAGAATGTGATGCCATTTGTTAGTGTTTTTATATTCATCAACAACATTTCCTGTATCACCAAAGATTAGTCTTACCTGGAGGCAGAAAAAGAGCTCCCCGCACCCGACCTTCTCGGACCTGCACCCGCTGTACCCCAGGGGCCGAAAACCAGCGCTGGACCACCTGGCTGGCCATGGGCTCTTCTCTGCTGAAACCCTGGAAACTAACTGTGTCATAGAGGTTCAGAGTGACCAAAAAGGGGCTGTTCATCACATCTTGCTTCAACAGCCTCCTGAAAGCCTTCTTACACTTCAGAGACCAGAAGAGGCCCATCGGGTGGACCCCCACGTAGTCACCTCCAAATGCAGGAGCCTCCATTAGGTCCAGCTCACCAACCTCATTCGCCTTGTAGAAGGCTTTGGACTGGAACACGTTCCCCTTCTCATCCTTCAGAGATGCTGTTAGGGTCACCAGCTGCAACGGGGGCAGGCCAGTCACTCGGATATGCACCGGCTCATCTGCAAGGGCACTTGCTGGGGTGGCTGTCAGCTGGAACATTGGCAAGTTGCAAAGGGACAGAGTGGTATTCCCTGTCCTGGAGGGTGAGAGGAGACTTGGAGTTGGAGACCGAAATCCCAGGAGAAAGATTGAGACAAGGCTTGCATTAGGTCTGGCCAAGCTCTGCTTCTAGAGACCTCATGCAAAATATACAGAACATTCAGAGGAAGGAAACGAAGACGTGCAAGAAAACTCATTATTCTCATTTTACATATGAGGAAACAGGTTGAGTGACATGCTCAAAGCCTCATGAATAATTAGCAGTAGAACTGGAAATTCAAGCTAAGGCTGATACCGCAGCCTCCTGTCTTCTCTGTTGTAACACTATAGAAAACCTTCATTTCATGGTTTGGGGTAAGTTGAGCTTTAATTCTTCAGTTGAGATAATACCCATTTGACCTACTTCATGGGGTGTATTTAGGATCTGAGGAGGTAATGCATGGAAAAGCCCTTACAGGAAGGATCAGTATTGCTTTTTAAGCCCCACACCTACCTGGGGTTGAGTTACAGGAACAAGAAATATACTATGGTGTTGTTTGTCTCTAATCCCTCCCTGTCGTTATAAGATCAACTTCCAGCTCTTTTTTTCTGTATTCCCATTATTTATTCCTTTTAAGGGAAAATAGAACTCTATGATTTTTTTTTTCGGGGGGGGTTTGAAGATTTCATTTATTTATTTGACAAAGAGAAACAGCGAGGGTGAGAACACAATCGGGGAGTGGGAGAGGGAGAAGCAGGCTTCCAGCCAAGCAGGGAGCCTGATGCAGGGCTCGATCCCAGGACCCTGGGATTATGAGCCAAGCTGAAGGCAGATGCTTAATGACTGAGCCACCCAGGTGCACCAAAACTCCATGATCTTGTCTCTGCTTTTATGCCTTTCTGATGGACTGATAAATGTCAAAATGTCGTCAGTGGTAGAGACTGTAATAGACATTGGGTCAGCTATTTCATGCTCTGCTCCATTAATGAGCAAAATTTGGGCTATTTCCTCCTTTCTTACATCCTGTCTCCTTTCCTTTCTTCTCTCTCTCCTCCCTTTCCTCCTTTCTTCCATACCTCATACTCACCCCCCCACCAAAAAAAGAACCTATTTATAGATAACAGATGCAGAGTAAAATAGAACTGGGAAAATATGAACCAAAATCAGGCATTGGTCAAAGAAAACCTAGAGCATGAAAAGCAAAGCTTTTCATGTGCTGTTGTAAGGACCTATTTTATATTTCTGTTTTAGCCAGAGGCTTCCATTGAAGTTAAACAATAACTTTGTTGTTTAACCCTTAAACTGTCCCTGCTCCCCTTCCCCCAAGGGACTTAAAAACAAGTCCTGGAAACTAGCTCCAGGTGTGGAGGCCAAGAAAAACAAGGCTGTACCCACCTCGAGTCTAGCCCTGACATAAGTACAGCCATCTTGGCAAAGCATCAGCCGGCACCTTGCACTGTAAGAGTAGGTTAGCATAAGAATGGCCATCCTGAAGGCCGGGAAGCCATTTTACTGAGCGTCCCTAACCAGCCCACACTGCGCTCCTGACTTGAGATAAGAGAAAGTAGCTAAAACCTGAGAAACAACTTAATCATATACCACCAGGGCGGTTAGGCGGTGGCACCACAGGGACCAGATGTTAAAGAAAACAGTTAACTTGCAGAGATCACAATCCTGCTAGACAGGAGTCTCCCTTGGTTTGCAAATGTCCTGGTGATTTACAACAAAAAGGGCTATCTCTTCAATGGCCCAATTTCCAGAGACAAGTGGCTCAGTTCCTCAAGGCCTAAGGTCGCCCTCCCCACCATAAAACTGAGGGAGGCTGAGGCAGAAGGAAATGTAAATAAAGTTAAATTTCTTCTAAACCTAAATCTCACTTAACCGCCAGGATGGTGCCAGGGTGACGCTGGGGTGGCAAAAGGTTAAACAAAGTTAGACTGTCAAAGTGGGGTGCAAGATATGTATGTAGCTATGGGAAAGTGCCTTGAAAATGCTATTTAAACCCTTGGCTTTGAGTGCTCAAGGTCCTTGTTGAAACCCCCTGTGCCGGGTGGATACTTGGACCCCAGCGAGCTGGAAATAAACCTCGCTGTGTGACTTGCATTATCGAGAGTGTTCTCTGTCTAACTGAGGGGTGGTCGATTCCGTACCCTAACATTTGGAGGTTCCACCGAGATCTTAACACCCTCCTCAGGGAGACAGACGATCCCTGATACCAAGGTTTACACAGAAGCCGTGGCAGGAGGTTTGGCCACCTCCAAGACGGGAGGACTGAAACAGGCCTCCGAAGAGGAGTCGCGGGAAACGTCCCCGACTAAGAGGTGCCCTGATGACGTCCGCAGTAGACACTGTTTGGAGGGCGAGGTAAGGATCCTGAGTGTTGTGTGAGTGGGACGGCGCCTGTGGATGTGGTGTGGCAGACCGGCTGGTGGGTGTTAGCAAACTCAGTTTGGATTTGTGTGTTTGTTGGCTTTGTGTCCCTTGTCTTTTCCTGGCTTCTTTTTGGTAACAGTGCTATAGCAGACGGGCCCTGCCTGGAGGCTCGGCTGCTGTTGCGGTCGGGGCTTAGCTTCCTTCCAGTTTTGTCTTCATGGCCGCACCAGATCGTTTGTCCTTGTGAGTGTGTTCTAGTTTAATTGTTATAAGTGTATTTGTCTTGTTGTGGACTGAGGGAGGACATGATGGGACAGACGCAGACGAACCCTCTGTCTCTGATGATTGACCACTTCTTGGACGTTAGGGAAAGGGCTCATAACCTGCGCACTGACGTACGAAAGGGAAAGTTTCGGACTTTCTGCATGTCTGAATGGCCATCCTTTAATGTTGGATGGCCCCGGGAGGGCCGCTGGGTTTGCGGTTGTCTTTGTCCTGTCTCTTTGTAGTCTGTTGTGGTGTTTGTTATGTTTGGAGGAATGGGGCAAGCAGAGAGTAAGGAGACTCTGACTTCCATCTCTCTGTTCCTCCTAAATAGATGTGGGGCTTCTCCCTCACTCATTTCGTGTGTTTAAGGCTATAACTGGAGCCAACTGTGGTTGGTCTAACTCGAGACAGAGACGTAAGGAATATTCCCAAGCAGCTGCCAAAACAACTTTGTTTCAGGGACATTCCTTGCCCTCTGTGGCCCGACAGAGACTGCCTAGCCCCTCCCCCCCTTGCTGGCAGGAAAGCATGGCGTCTGCTCCTCTGTTGGAGTTGATGAGCTCTAAAACCGGGAATCCTTCTCTGCCTCCTAGCAGCGCTTTGTTCTTCTGTCTCACCCTTTTGTTTCCACACCAACGTGCGTGGGGCCTGCATGACTGGCCTCTAGACCATCCTGGGTGCTCCTGCACCACGGCTCCTCCTCTCTTCACTGTCAAGGAGCAAGAAGAGCAGCCCCTGGATCTAACACCCCCCCACTCCAGATCTTCCCACCCGTGTCTCAGGTAAACATTCAAAGTGGAGTGGGCCCAGGTAGAACGTAAATCAGTATTTGAATTAAGTTAAGTTTGTCAGGTTAATTAGGATGAACATGTCTTTTGAGTTATCAGTAGTAAAAGTGAAATTTCAAAGTTTACTGAAGGTCAAATAAGTTCGTGTTATTTGTTAAAATCTGTGTTAAAATCTGTTGAAATCTGTTAGCAAAGAGAAGACTAAACTGATGGTTAATTGTCTGTCTCAAAGTTTTAATGGGTGATTATTAAAGTAGCTTTCAAAGTCTTTGGTAACCTGAAACTTTAAAGTTTTGCTTGGATGACAAATGGAATTAAATTATGGACATCTAGGTCTTAACCAAATGGGATAAAATGCTAGAGTGCTGGTTGCTGGAACTAGGTTTGTGCTTTTGAAATCTGTTGGTAAACATGTTTTGTGCTTAACTGATTGACAAATTTGCCATCTAAAGAATTCTGTTTTAACTGTTTACGATTGGTTAATACTTAGCCATCACTAGAGGTTAGGGTATTTCTAAGAGTACAAAATTCTGTTAAGTGTAACTAAGACTGATGGAAATGAGAAAAGCAACTCTGTATGTAAAAAGAGAGAAAAACAGCCCTGAGGCCACTGTCGGAGCCAGACCCATTCGTAAAGAATGGAAGGGGAGACTGATCGCCTCCCATTAGCCAGGGATACCCAAAGGGGAGGGTGTCCAACCTGTTTGAATCTGAAGAGTGCCTGACTGTGTGAATGCGTCTGTATGGCTCCACCCCTCCCGCTGTGGAGTCTGAGTGGCTGCACACTGAGTCTCGCGGGGCGTCATATGGCATAATGGTCATCTACTCCACGGAGTAGCCTGGTCCGGGCTACTGACCGATTCCTTGTTACAATATTCTTCTTATACTGCCTCTATTTTACGCCTTTCTTACTCTGTCCACACTTTTCAATGCTTACAAATAATAGCCAAGTGTTGTTCCTCAGAGGAGTTGTGCTGTGTAAGGATTCATTTTTCGGAATGCAGATTTCCCTCTCATTTTCCCTTACACCAGGAGGGTTTGTTTACTCCTTTAACTCATTTCTCGAAGTGTAAAGGGAGTTTGGGGTAGGTAATTCAGGAAGGAGGGGCAGACATGATCAGCCTACCACCCTCCTCCCCATGCAATAGAATGCTCACTAACCATCAAGAACCCCCTCTGGGGGCGCCTGAGTGGCTCAGTGGGTTAAAGCCCCTGCCTTCGGCTCAGGTCATGACCTCAGGGTCCTGGGATCGAGCCCCACATCGGACTCTCTGCTTGGCGGGGAGCCTGCTTCCTTCTCTCTCCTCTCTCTCTGCCTGCCTCTCTGCCTACTTGTGATCTCTGTCAAATAAATAAATAAAATCTTAAAAAAAAAAAACATATCCGATGGTCCAACAGGCTGATTTTTGAAGATAAACTGAAAGTGGAAGAAGAGGACTGAAGGACTGGAGACATGCCTCATGAGATCAGAAATGGAGAATTACCGTCTTCTGAGTCAATTCACAAGAGATGACTCGCTGTCAAGTCTGTCTAGACAATGAAGCTACTAACCAATGGGATTTACACTAGCTGGTGATATAAGTTGTCCTGTTCCATGAGCATCATCTTTAACAAATAATTTTAAAATGCAGCAGCAGCTCCAGGAAAATTGAAAAGGCAATCATACACCACAATCATCTGACAAGGAAAGGGCCTGGTTCTTTTAAAGGACTACTGGAATTCTATCCTCTCCTTAAAATGTACTGGGCACTTACTAAAAGCTAGCCACTGGGTAATATTAATTCCCATAATAAAGCCTTTCCACATTTCAAGGTCCTTTCATGGTCATTATAATTCAGGAGATTGAACTCACGTGACTTAGCCAAGTTTGCCTGTGTTAACGGTACAAAAAGAATTTTAACCCATGTCATCTGACCCTTCATTTAAATCTTATTTATGGGGCGCCTGGGTGGCTCAGTGGCCAGGGAGCCTGTCCTCCTCTCTCTCTGCCTGCCTCTCTACTTGTGATCTCTGCCTGTCAACTAAATAAATAAAATCTTTAGAAATAAAAAATCTTATTTATTTTCCCTAAATGACAGTAAGAATGTGAACATGCATTTTTTTTTCCCCCTGGCCTCTCCCATCCTTGTTTCTTTTTCACTACGTTCTTGTCTTTAGTTTCTTCTTTTCCTTTCCCTGACTCTGAAGCTTTTAATGACAGAGACAGCCTGATGCATAGTATAGCAGGACTGATAATGGAATAGTAGGGTTGAATTTAATGGTCCACAAACCCACATGTGCACAGAATGCAATGTTTTCCTATTATCCTAGCTTCAGTGTAATTTCTCTTTTCAGTCCTATTTCCTCCAGGTGGCAGAGATACACGCACAGAATTCAGAGCACTCTGCTTTTCCTTGCAGTCCAAGTTAAGTCCCAGTGACTTGTATAGTGCTAAAAGACTTGGCCGGAACACCATGCTCCTCTATTTTTATGCATTCTCCCAAACCCATTTTGCAATGTATGCCAGGGGTCCATATTCAGATACCTGGAAGGGGTGGGTAATATAAGTTTGCAGGGAAAGGTCAGAAAGAATGCAATATAAGACAGTAATGAAATAAAGATCTGCCCAGTCTAAAGGCATTCACATGTATTCTCCTAAAAACAAAACAACACAAAATAACACAGACACACAACAGAAACCCCAAGGTGGATACCAAACAAAACGCACCTATTTGTGACTTTGGGAATTTACATCCTCCTATTAGGGTTTTTGTAACTCAAAAAAATACTTTCCTGGCCTTTGTTTTTGTGTCATTCTTTCCTGAAGCTCGGAGGGCCAACTGACCTCTCTTGGGTAGAAGGACAAGGTGAAATGGAAATACCAAAATATGGTGGTGGGAAGTTGGAGGTAAGGACTCATACAATATTTCCACTGGTATATGGCAAGTTAGCCCTGCCCCCAATATCCAAAGCCCTCCAACTGTCTCCTTATTACCTCTTAACCACGCTTAATGTTCGTGACTTTTTTTCTGCTTTCCCTGTATTCTAATTCTGTTGTCTTATTCTCAACTAGATCCCAACTAATCCATATACTGTGATAGGAATTAATACCTTTGTTAATAAGGCTTTTGGCTCTCAAAACCAGTCTGTCACAGATTTTCTAGAATAAGTCATAAGAAGCCTTAAAGCTTATCCTATCAATGCTGTATTGTCAACATCGATAAAGCGCCTACTGTATACAGGAACAATTTTCTGTCCTCTGGGCTCTCCACAATGCCACTCAGAGCACATAATATGTTACTGAAAGGTTCACTAGAGCCATTTATGCTGTGTTTTTGCTTTCCTGTGAATCTGTAAATTTCTTGAGGGCAGGATCCAGTCTGATGTGTCTTGGTCACATTCACTGCACAGGGAGCCCTTCATTTCCTGGTCATCAACTGATTATTCAAAATGATTATTGATTGCACTCTCCACTTCATTCCCCTAAGCTCTCATCCATTTACCTAAGTCTGCCTTCCTGTTTACAGGCTTTTTCACTTCCCAGTCTAATCTCTGCAATCTAGTCGGATCTCAACACAAAAATAATCGAATCACTCTCCTGCTTTAAACTTCGATGGCCGCAGGGTGAAGGGTGAAGTCTAAATCCTCTGGCCTAGCATTAAGACCCTTTGCAGGGGAATGGTTCCACCATAGCACCCTGGAGGGTTCCCCGTGCCCACAGGCAGAACTTGGACCACCAGGACCTAAATCGGGATGGGATGCCTTGTGATTGCGGGGACACGGCAAGTTAGGCAATCTTCACAGGAGGCTCCACAAGAGTGTTTTCTCACCTGTCCCTCTTATCCTTTTTTTTAATTGAAATATAATTGACATATGAGATTAGTTTTAGGTGTACAACATTCGACAACTAATACACATTGCCAAACAATCAGTGAAAGGTTTAGTTACCATGTGTCATCATACAAGGTTCTTACACTGTTATTGGCTCTATATTCCCTATGCTGTACTCCACACCCCGATGACTTATTTACTTTATAAGTGGAAGTTTGTTCTCTTAATTGTCTCTCCCTATCTTACGGGAGGCTGCCATGAGACAGTTTTCCCATCCACTTCCCTGGTTCCAGAGAGGTGTACGACTTTGGGGCACGGCTGCAGGCTCTGTGACAGTTTTGTTGCAGTCTGGAGTTGGTCCCCCAGCAACTGTGTTGAGTTCATGGGGTCCTGTTTGTTTCAGTGCCATTGTTTCAGGGTATAAGACAAGGACTCAGACAGCTGGAGCCTGTGGCTTCTCTGGCCTTCACTATCTATGTAAATGATAAACTGTCTGAATCTAACAGGGGTTCATTATTTCTTTACCAGCTGAATCTGTCAGTCTTGGACTCCCCTTTGTGTTTGGTGCCCTTTATAATAATCAGATTCAAGCAAAACCTTTTCCAACTAACCCCAGCCTACTTACTAGTCCAGCCAACCATCTCATAACACGTAGCATATGATGTTATAAAAATCTGCTTCTTTATCTCTCTCCCTTTTTGCTCTGGCAATGTAGTAGCCTCTAGCCCCCTACAGCTAATGAAATTTCAGTTTATTAAAAACAAATAAAATTTTAATTCCTTGGTCACAATAACCACATTTTAATTGTTCAATAGCCACACATGAGTAGTGGTTACTACACTGGGCAATTCTGATAGAGAATATTTCCATCATCCTAGAATATTCTATTGAACAGCACTCGCCTGGATTGTTAATTATTCCTCGGGGGCAAGAATTACACCTTGCTTGACACTCTATTCCTCAGTTTCTAGAATAGCATCAGGCAGGTAGTGATGCTCAGTAAGTATAAGAGTAATTAAATGAAAGAATAAATGATAAGTGGAAAGGTTAAAAAAAAAAAAGAACAGCATTTCTCAGAGAGTACAAAGAAGAAAGAACAGAGGCCCAACTGAATTCTCAGAGGCTACTTCTGAAGATGTGAGACTCTTCCAAATCCGATGGAAGAAAGTCTCCAGGCTTCTTCCCATCTCTGCAGCAGAAGCCTAAACACTGCACCTCGCTGAGTGTCCATGAAACTGAAGCCACAAAGCAGCCAGAGGGCGAGAAACAAGCTGCCCCACACAGGATTAGCCTTCCAGTGGTTGCAGAGAGAGCCCTCGGCAATATAGGAGCCTCTTGGGCTGAAAGCCGAAAGCCCGGCTGTGGAGCCGACTCCGGACTCCCAGGCAGAAGGGTGTCAAGGTCACACACGCCACTGGGCGACCTTGACTCTTCTGGAGAAAAGACAGCCAGGAGCTGCTAAGACGCTAGCGCCCCAAGTGGCCGGAAACAAAGAATAAAAGAAAGCGAAAAGTCACCCGTCGCAGTTAAACTTCCTAATCAAGAAACAAAAGTCCATTCCCTTTAGGGGCTTTTCTTCCTTCATCACAGGTATTTCCTCCCCCTCCTCCCAAGCCGTAAGTCCCAGAGAAAAATTTCTTGAGTCAAGAAACAATCTCTCCGTAAGTTCACATGAGTAGGAGGACCCTGACTTTGCAGCCACAGTCAGTCTCTAAACAACCTCTTGTTAAGTGGATGCTTCTAACATAGATCTGCGTGGCCAAGCAATCGGCCACCCATCCCTACCCCACCCCACCGCCGGGGTGCGGAAGGACATTGCAGTTTCCCCAGAGAGCTGCGCTCGCCATGGAGATGAGGAAGGCACACGGCTGAATGAAAGCCGCCTTCCTGGTGCCCAGACAAAACACTGAGCAGTTCCCGACCAGGCCAGGCCAGGCCGTGACAGCCCGACTCCCCCACACTCACCCTGAATTCAGCTGCTGGGAGCAGTCTGGAGTAGGGCGGCTTGCTGGGCCCACTAGAGACACTGGAAGCTTCCCCGGCCTATTCTAACAACTGAGCCAGCCTACTCACCCTCACAAAACTGTCAGCGTCTCCTTCCTCTTACGTACGTCCCCAGTGATGGGACTGTGGACCCTGCTGTGACGGGGTCAGAGCAGACTCTCAGGCTGACCGCTGTACCTCTCAGTCCAAGTGTTTCACAACGGAATCTCAGGTTTCATCACAGGGCTCTGGTTTCTAAGCGCTTCCCTGACTCCTCCTCCCCATCGCTGGCTCTGGTCTCCTTGGGGATTTCCTCCTCTGAGTCCGTGGTTTTTTAGGCAACTAACTGCCTTTTTGACAGCGTCTAACACGGTAAGTCCCAAACGTCTGACGTAGTAAGTCCGCACCAGGAGATTTCTAACCGGAATAAGGTCCTGGGGTCTGTATGTTCAACAGGGGATTGCTAAGGCATAGCTGGGGTTTGAACTGCTCTTCCAAGGGACAGCGGAAGCCCTCCTCATGCAAAAACGCCTCCCCGAGACCAGAACCTCTGAAACCTGCCCCACTGTTAATGTCCTCAGTCCAAGTCCATGGTCAAAATGCAGGAATGATCAGGTTTACAGATTGTAGACTGCGCCTCCAGGTGGTGACTTGCTTGGGGGAGGGCACTGTGTCTTTTCATTTCTGTACCTTTTGTAGCCAGGGAGGTGTAGCTGGGAGACCACCCCTAGACCACCCCTAGAATCAGAGAGACCTAGATTGGAACCTGGACTCTTTAACTGGCCATGTGGTCTGACCTCAGGCAGATTGCTTTACTTCCCTTGGGCTTTGATTATTTCTTCTTCTTCCTCTTCCTCTTCTTCTCCTTCTCCTTCTCCTTCTCCTTCTCCTTCTCCTTCTCCTTCTCCTTCTTCTTCTTCTTTTTTTAAGATTTTACTTATTTATTTGTCAGAGAGAGACACAGCGAGAAAGGGAACACAAGCAGGGGACGTGGAAGAGGAAGAAGCAAGCCTCCCTCAGAGCATGGAGTCTGATGCAGGGCTTGATCCCAGAACCCCGGGATCATGACCTGAGCTGAAGGCAGATGCCTAACAACTGAGCCACCCAGATGCCCCTGTGCTTCGACTTCTTAAATAAGAGTGATATATAAATGTACTGAAAGTGAAATATTAGCCTGGGGTGGAAAGGGCTGATCTTGGAAGTCACGGGCAGATTGGAAGTACTGAGGAAAGAGAATGGTGTCTCAGCACACAGCTCTCATAGCCTGTGAGAGGTACCTTGGCAGGATAGCAAGACTCCCAGCTGAGGGACTAATTCTCAAGATCAGGTCCCAGGGTGGGATCAGTGTCATTTTTACGAAGATTCTAAGAGCAGTGCAGGAAAGGGTGGGCAAGACAGGATGCTATGGCACCCAGGTAATAAAGTGGGGGCAGGTCAGGCTGGCAAACAGCCAGATCTTTTCCACTCCGCTTGCCCAGAACAGAAAACATCGGGGAACCTAGCTGTCCATGGACCCCTAAAGGCTGTAGCATATGAGGAGTGGGGACACTGGGCAGTGGAGTGATGACTGCGTACAGAAGAGACTTTGGGAGTTATCAATAGCTGGCATGAACCATGCAGAAAGGACGGAGGTCCTCTCAGGCAGAAGGATATCTACCTGCAGTCTGCCTTCAGAACCACGACTGCGACATCAATTCTTCTGGCCTTCTGGCCTGTCCTGAAGGTTTGAGCCCCCGCGATCACATAAGCCAATTCCTTAAAGTCAATCAATCTCTCTCCCTCTCTCTCCATGCACACCTTCTTAAGGTATATTTACTGGGCCTGAGAATGTAACCGACATAAGACAGATTAAGAGGTGAGAAGTACATAAAAGTTTTTAATGTAAGTTTCATGTGGCACAGGAGCCCTCATGAGGAATGAGACCCAAAGAAAAACAAATACTTGGTTTTATATTAGCTTGAACAAAGAGAGAGACCATTGTGGAAAAGTAACTATGTGGGCAGTCAAAAGGAGGATAATCATTCGAACAAGGTCTATTTGTATAGAATTCTCTCAATCTCAACTTCTGTCTTTGGTGGTAAGAATTTTACTTTCCTTCTGGTGGAGGGAGGACACCTTCCATCTGGGAGTTTTATCTCCTGCTTTCAGGAGGGAAAAAGGAAGGGTCGGAGGGCCCCTTCTTGTATCTGCCTTTTTAACTGCTTATTTTTGTTCAAGAGGCATATTTTGGGGTGATGTATTCTGGTTGCCTTCAAAGGAGAGAGAACAAAAGCATGAAAATTAGTGCCTATGGAATGAAGACTATTCTAATGGGGGTAAAGTCACGAGTGCACTTGGGGTTCACTGGGCTTCCACACAGCTGCAACACAATCCGTGGAAAACTGACTCCTTCTCAATGGTAGACCCAGCCGTGTCCCTGATTATCTTTAGAAGGTAAAAAATTTCTCCCTAGTAAGAGTAAATATAGAACTTGTCGTGTCCCTAGCTCTCCTAAGCCAAAAACAACCAAAACAATGCATTAATGTATAGACCCAAATTTATTTCAAATTTCCAGAGACTAGAGATTAACAGGCCATTGGGGAAAATCTCAACACAGTGTAATAGAGAAAATTTAGGTCTGAGTCCCTGGGTTCTGATTCTAGCCCTGCTATTAATTCATCGTGTGAGTTTCTCTGCACCTCTACTACTCAGTATGAGAAGGCTGACATAGATCAGTACCCCCCAAAAAAGCCTGTCATTAAGTAGCACTTTTATGTTTTAGCTATATCTGTGTCCTCTGGCCTATTTCTTGTAAGGCAAAGATGATCTTTACAAATGCCTCTCTGACAGCAGTGATGTTCTTAGTAATTGCTTTATTCTTCCTCAGAAGCTTTATTCCATTAAGTCTGGGTCCTGGGGCTTGTCTTTCAGAAGAGATGTTCTGTCTAGAGGGAAGGTCTGGGCCTTGACCAAGGTGGGAATGGATTGTGAGAAGCTAGAAAAAAAAAAGAAGAAGAAGAAGAAAAGGAAAAGAAAAGAAAGAAACTGGAATCTATAGTAGAAGGTTTTGTCCTGCTTCCGGTTTAGAGTTCTGGAAAGCAGAGTGAAACAGGACATCGTGTGCATAGGCAAAAGGAGATAGCGTATGCAAGTCTCCTTTTGCACTCCTGGCATGTGAAAGAGTTTAGCAAGCTCCCAGATTCTCATGGTGATGGGCATGGAAGGCAGCTGAGAGCTGAAGGTCAGCAAGTCTGCCCTGATTGTTGCGGCCACGTGCCAGCCGACCTTTTAGCAAAGGAGATGCGGTATATGCATCTGTCAGGGGCCTGACAGAAGACACAACTCACATTTAGAGAATGTGCAAGGATAGTAAAAGCCAAGTGGACCAAATGCAGGTGAGAGTGGGTTTGCCAGCTGGCCTGGACCATGCTATGAGTTAACCAGGTGCAGATACTTTATGGGTACACACTGAAAAGCAGACCAGTTACATTTCCAAGAGGTCAGAGAAGCTGGCCAAGAATGGTTTTTTTTTTTGGAAGGATGCCCGGGTGGCTCAGTTGGTTAAGCAGCTGCCTTCGGCTCAGGTCATGATCCCAGCATCCAGGGATCGAGTCCCACATCGGGCTCCCTGCTCGGCGGGAAGCCTGCTTCTCCCCCTGCCTCTGCCTGCCTGTGCTTGCTCGCTCTCTCTCTCTGGCACATAAATAAATAAAAGGAATGTTTTTTTTTGATCTGCCTTCCTGCCAATATTTGTAGTAGTGATACAGAACAGAATATATGAAAAAAATTTTTAAGACCTTCTTGGTTCTGAAAATCCACAAAATGTAAATCAAGGGATATAAAACACAAACATCGTATCTCATAAACATCTCATTCTTCCTGAAGTCTGGAAGGGAAACAAAAATAATTATACCCATTAAACCCACTATGTTAGCTATTATATAGCGTATGGCATATATAACTAATGATGTAGCATCTAATCTATCTAGTTATTATGTAGCGTATACCATAGGCGGTATTAGCCATTGCAATTACATGATTATTAGAGTCAAAGAAGTGACGTAGTCTGATTGACTGGGTGTGGGAAATGTAAAAACTTCTCTGAGTGAGAAAGGTGGGAGGCTAATAGCCTCGCTCATCCTGAATGGAATGATTTCACTCTAAACAGGAAGTATCAGAAAGCAGATGAAAGAAAAAGAGTTTAGGCAGATACCGTGAAGTGTCTTGTGTACTACTTCTGTCCCTCTAGCTCCTTGTTGGCTCCCCCAACACACCTACAAAATCATTCAGAATACCTTTTTACTGGTTCATCTTCACTTGATTATCTACCTTCCACTTTTACCCATTGCAATTCAGTAGCTCAGGAATATGTGGATTATGACTTGCCCGTTAGAGGAAATACGTCAAATTTGACCTTGGACAAAGTAATTCGGATCGTTCTACACCCAAGGTCATCAGACTATGCCCTGTGAGCTAAATCTAGCCAACAGCCTGTTTTTCTACTGCCCACAAGCTAAGCGTGGCTTTTACATTGGCCAATGCTTAGAAAAAAAAAGAAAAAGAAAATTACTATTCTGTTACATGTAAAAATTATATGAAATGCAAATGTCAGTTTCCATAAATAAAGTTTAAATGGAACATAGCCATGAACATTCATTATGGCCTGACTATGCTCCTTTTGTGTTTGAATGGCAGAACTCAACAACAGTGACAGAGACTTAATGGCCCACAAAGCCGAAAATATTTGCCATGTAGAACCTTAGAGAAATAGTTTGCCAGCCTATAAGGTATACAACCCACAGCATCATGGCTCCTTCCCTAAAGTACAATTCTGTGAACCTCAGATTGTTTCTTTTTCAAAATGCTATACATTTTGACCCAAATATTACTTTATTCTCTTCTCTTAGCCTTTTTTAAATTATTGATTTTAGGTTTACTCAATCATTTTACCCCCATATCAGCTTCCATATTGCCTCAAAATAATATATGTTTCCCAAGCTCTAGTTTTTCAATGGCAATGAAGTAACCATGAGCCATGAGCATATTTTCATATATGAGAAATCTAAACATATTTCATTTGAGTTTTAAGAAATCAACAAATATCAACACCTGATTCTACTCATGTCTGTTTTTAAAACCAGGGGATTCTGTCATTCATTTTGGTCATTTTTCTTTCCCACAAGACAATTGCTGTAATAATAAACCAGAATATTTTAGGGCAGGTAGAGCCCTAAATGTATTTTTTTTCCTAAATGTACTTTTTAAAATATAAAACTCTCCATGTATCATATTGGATTAAACAGAAACCGTTCTCCCTTTCCAAAGTCAAGACATGACCATTGTCAGTCACCCTCCTGCTTTCTCTTAGTATAACCTCCCACAATAAGAAATCAAAGATATTGATTGATGGATCAAGTGAAGTATTGCTGCTCTGTTCCTCAAGAATATCTTCTCAGAGTTGACTGGTCACAACCGGAACAAGATGCTTCCTGAGAAACTTCTGGATCTCCTTCCAAGAATGTTCCTGGGCAGCGGCATGTGGGATCACCTCTCCACCCCAGTGCATGAGCAGGTGAAGACTGGGGATCTTTGAGGCACAGCACAGTGGGGAATAGGGAGGCTCTAACAGGTGGCCTGCCCCAGGGTAAGACAGCAGGGTCCAGTTGTTCTTCCCGTATCTGCTCAGCTGTTGGGTGGCTTGCTCAGCATACACTTTGCTGTTGAGATTCTTATCATCTTCTCCAACAATGAAAAGGAAATGTCCCTGGGCCTTTTCAATGGGGAGAAAAGAAGTCTCACTGGCTTCACTTCTAGCTTCCTCAAAGCTGTGCTGGAACTCTGCTAACCCCAAGGCAGTGATGGACAGCAATTGTGGAGAGAGGGCTAAGGGCTTACTTATCTGACCACAATATACCTGTGGAATTCTCAGTATGAAGTTGGGCCCATTAATAAGCACAGTAGCTGTGACTTGTTTTAGGTGAATAGCCATGGAGAGTCCAATCTCTGCACCTTTGCTTATAGAAACTATGCCAATGCCTGGGCCGAGGACCTAAAAATAATGGAAATGAGATGTTGATTCTGTCTACCATTTAGCAAAATGCGACCATCTCAAATAACCAAAGAACTTGAATGGCCAGTAGGAGCCAAGCAAGGACTAATCCCACCCACATGCCCAGTTCTAGAGTTCTGGAATACATGATGAATGTTCAAAGGAAATACTCCTTCAAAAACATATCAGACCTTCCAAATTAAATACTATGGATTCAGCGTGATGTTAGGCATTGAGTTTAAAATGCCCTAAAGAAATACCAATGTAGTAGGAAAAAGAAGAAAAAGGCCCATAACTCATGTGAATAACATAAGTCAAGTTACAGTTGATCGATCAATGCTGTTGTACCAATTCTAGGGTCTCTAGAAGTCCAGAGGAAAGGGTACTCTACAGGAAAAGACTGAGAAAAAAGATGAGTTTAGTAGAACAGAGAATGGAAATGTGAGCAGAGGATTCTACCTCTGCCGTGGTTTCCCTGGATTTCTCCTTTAGAGAAAGGTTTCATAAAGGAGACCTGGCTCAGCTTCCTCTTCCGCCTTTAGTCATCAAGCAGGCATTTTTTAAAAAGATTTATTTATTTGACAGAGAGAGAGAGAGAGAGAGCGCATACACAAGCAGGCAGAGAAATAGGCAGGGGGAGAGAGAGAAGCAGATTCCTCTGCTGAGCAAGAACGCCTGATGAGGGGGTGGGGCTCGATCCCGGGACCCTGGGATCATGACCTAAGATCATGACTCAATGACTGATGGGGGGGTTGGGAGGTTGGGGGAACCAGGTGGTGGGTATTAGAGAGGGCACGGATTGCATGGAGCACTGGGTGTGGTACAAAAACAATGATACTGTTATGTTGAAAATAAAGAAAAAAAAAAGTTAAAATGACTGAGCCACCCAGGTGCCCCTAACCAAGCAAATTTAGATTGTCCACCCTGTACTAACCGCCGGAGGACACAGAGGGGAAAAAAGGCGTAAGTCATCTCTTATCATCAAGGAACTCACTGCCCGATGGAGAGACAGGAAGGAAAAACACAGACAATTAGAGTAGCTTACAACTTCTGTGATATAAGAATGCACATAGGCAAGGCTGCCAACCCAGATTACCAGGGAATAAAGCAGGATCAGGGAAAGATTCTCAGAGGAAATGAGCTACAATTTGGACCTTTATACAAAATAAAGGGTGGGGGGGCAAACAAGGAGGAAAGGTATTGTATGCTGTGTAGTGGACACCAATAAGAACTATTCTCTTTTTCTTTTATGGGGCATGTATCCAGTCCCAGGGGGTAGAGTCCGATGTACCTGAACCTATTCCCCTTTGCAATATATATATATATTTTTTCAGCCTCTTTGGAAGGCCAATACATTCTACCTGAGGTCCTATCCTGTATATTAAGAGGGGTGACTGGAATCATCTCCTTTTGAATTAAAAAGACCTTTCAAGCTCTGAAGTTCTACGTCTTAATATGAAAGATACAGAGTCACAGTTACAGCAATGAAAGGTGAGAACTCAGAATGGATATGGCCAGGGAAGACAGAGTAAAAAGAAGTATAACACGGATCAACAACAACAACAACAAGTGAGTCAGTTATGTGCAGACATTTGGCAGAACACCAGCTCTTGCTATAACTTCTGCCACCAAATTTGGAATCAGGGAATTTAGAATGCTTAGAAGACACTTAAAATCAACAGATGGAGAAATAAGATCTATAAGGAATTGAAAGGTGGGTGGTCTCTCTTCTCACAGAAGAGAGAGCATGAAGCAGGCTTAGTGGAAGTAGTAAGAGCCTAGGAGAGAAATCTGGTTTCTAAGTCTCATTAGGCATTGACTAACTTTGGGAAGTCATTAGCCATTGGCTGACTTTGGGAAGAACGCGGAGGGAAGTCATGCAGCAAGTATAAGGGCAAGCAGGCTAAGAAAGTGAACAGCAGAATCACAGAACCTCCTCATTTCTCATCTAAGCCAAGCAGAAAACTCAGCACAATATAGCTATTTAAAAATTCAGTGCATCAGTAGATTGTTAGTGATTATTGCTCATCTTATTACTATAATTCTGATCATATTTTGGATGATCCTTTATATGAAATAGGGTGTGGTACAGAGACTTAATTTTACTTAGATCAGTTCTTTTTTTTTTTTTTTTTGGACTTTATTTATTTGTTTGAGAGAGAGAGGGGATAAGCATGAAGGAGGGAAATGCTGAGCAGGGAGTCCGATGTGGGACTCCACCCTAAAACCACGGGGTCATGATCTGAGCTGAAGGCAGACATTTAACCCACTGAGCTACCCAGATACTCATAGAGCAATTTTTTGTTTTAAAGATTTTATTTATTTGACAGAGACTCAGCGAGAGAGGGAACGCAGCAGGGGGAGTGGGAGAAGCAGGCTTCCCATAAGCAGGGAGCCCAATGTGGGGCTAGATCCCAGGACCCTGGGACCCTCTGGGGATCAGGACCTGGGCTGAAGGCAGATGCTTAAGCAGCTGAGGCGCCCAGGCGTCCAAGATGCAATGGCTTTAGATTCAGATGGAACTGAGTTGCGTTTCTGTCTCTTTCCCATCTGGTTGTGGGAATTTGGATAAGCTACTAACCCTTTCTAACCCTGAATCTCTTCATCTATTAAATACTATGGTGGTGATGCTATTTCGTAAGGTTCTTGTGAGAAGTAAAGGGGATAATACAAGTGAAGCGCTTACTAGAGTAATTAGCAATACACATCCTCAATAAATGTAATTCTTATTATTATCACCTTCTCTGATTATTATTAAGTCACCAGACTCTACAAGACAGATAATCTTCCTTTGAGGAGTGAGTCTGATTTTTAGTTATTGGAGAGGACTTAACTATAATGCTGTAGACTTCCCAATCCATACCTTCTTTAAGTTCTAAAATGTGCTTTTCCTGCTATATTAGGGTTGCTGCATGTTATCCCTTGTTAATTGCTGATATTTTTTTCTTAATGAGAATTGCTCAGGGCACCTGGGTAAATAAATAAAATCTTTGAAATAAATAAATGAAGCCATTGTGTTTTGATTCCATCATGGGCACAGGCTAACTTCCCGTTTTGTCTTTCTGAGCAAAAGACATTGGGTGGGAAAGAAATCATGTGAATAAGATGGCTATGTCATAGAACTTCCAGTTCACTGAGGAGAATCATACTTGGAAGTTAAGGGAAGCCACAGGATGTAATGGTTATTTGAAAACAGGGACTAAGAGGCACCTGGGTGGCTCAGTTGTTAAGCGTCTGTCTTTGGCTTGGGTCATGGTCCCAGAGTCCAGGGATTGGGCCGTATTGGGCTCCCTGCTTGGCAGGGAGCCTGCTTCTCCCTCTCCCACTCCCCCTGCTTCCGTTCCCTATCTCGCTGTGTCTCTCTCTGTCAAAAAAAATAAACACAATCTTTAAAACAAACAGGGACTAAAAGAAAAGGCAAAAATTACCTTAGGATGTCTCAGGAGAAAGTTGACAGCTTCCTCAAAATAATCTAATTCTGTCTTTTCTGGTTGGGCAGGCAAATCTTCATAATTAAAGTAAGCCAAGGCCAAGGAGGCAAAGCCACGACTGGCCAGGAGACTGGCCCGGTACTCAATCAGTCCACCAATACCACCAAACAAGTCAATTATCCCTGGGAAACGGCCCTCTCCTGAGGAAAACAAAACAAAACAAAACAAAACAAAGCTGAGGTTAAGGGGAAGGGAAGGAAAAGAGAAGAAAAATACAACACGAAGAAATGCATCACAAATTCTGGAATTGAAGCATAAATTTTCAGTAGAATCCCCAAGTTTTCAGAACTAAAGCTGATTGAATACATTATGGAACATTATGGAACATAGTATCAGGAAGGTTGATTGGGAGCCATGTTCACTGACAAGTTTAATCTCTGTAGGCAAGGGGTACTGAGGACTCACAGTGGTTCATTTCTATAGTATTGGAGTAAAGAAAGCCATTGAAATTAGGCAAGCACTTTTTAACCTATGAAAAGATACACAGTTGGGCTTTAGGAAATCAGTGAAGGTCCTGAAATTATATGCAAAATATAGGTTTAAGTGGGTCTTTCTTTCTTCCTTCCTTTCTTTTTTTTTTTTTAAGAGAGAAAGCATGCAAGCTGGGATGGGGTGGCATGGGGGAGGGGCAGAGGGAAAGGAAGAACTCTTAAGCAGACTCCGTGCTCAGCAGGGAGCCTGACAGGGGTCTCAGTCTCAGGATCCTGAGATATGACCTGAGCCGAAAACAAGAGTAGGACGATTAAGCAACTGAGCCACTCAGGGACCCCTATGTGTGCATTTTACTAATGAAAGCCTCTACAGATTTAATTGAGTTCTCAAAGTATATATAACTCATATAAGGGGGGGGGGGACTTCAAAATATATGACTTCAAAGAAAGCTATTGAAATGACTGTTAGCTAAAATCTGGACTTCGCACCGCTCTATTCCACTCATCTGACAACACAGTGACAAAATCTTACAGTCAAGCAGGTATAAATGGTAAGACCTTCCATGTGACAACAATCTGTTTATTCCCTGCAACTTAACACTGGTAAAAAGTAGGGATGGTCAGAGTGTCATTCTACACACGCTCTGTGTAGGCAGCTAGTTTTCTAAATAAAGCAAAAAAAATTTATGATGCACTTCTTGGAGGCACTCTAGTGTCCAGTAAGTGATTTTAATGGAGGTAGACTTGTCCCATCCATGGAGGCACCTGGCTGGCTAAGTCAGTAGCACATGTGACTCTTGATCTTGGGGTTGAGTTCAAGCCCCATGTTAGTACTTAAAGAGATAAGTACATGAGATGTTACTTAAAAATAAAAATTTAAAAAAAAAAAGAGTGACTTGATTTAAAGGATATTGGGAATTTTCAAAACAAAAACATTGCTATGTTTTCTCATCTTGAGAAAGGGAGCAATAAAATGGTATTAAATATATCTTGGCTTTAAAATACCACTTCAAGGAGCGCCTGGGTGACTCAATTGCTTAAGCGACTGTTTTCGGCTCAGGTCATGATCCCAGGGTCCTGGTATCGAGCCCCATGTCAGGCTCCTTGCTTGGCAGGGAGCCTGCTTCTCCCTCTCCCTCTGCCTGCTACTCCACCTGCTTGTGCTCTCTCTCTCTCTCCTCCCCTCTGTCAAATAAACAAATAAAATAAAATAAATTTTTAAAAATACCGATTCAATAAATGAATAAAGTTGCTTTTCATCTCCTGATTGCCAGGAGGAGGGAGGACTTAAGAGTAACGAGCCTCTGATCGTGGAAGAAGGTTGAGTTGAGAATTGTTTTGAGACCTGACTCAATCCTCTTTTCGCCCCACACAGCTCAATGCTCTTTTGTATCTATCCCCACAGAACAAGCAGGACACACAGAACATGCAGTATCCTCGAGGATTCACCAAAAGTACCCTCTAACCCAGCACATCATCCCCAGGTGATGGGGATATCACTGATATGTAGATTTTTAACTGAGGTGGAATAGGAGAGGCACAGACATTTGTGCCACTTAATTTCCCATCCCTACACACAATGATGTTGTCTCTATGCTAATTACTAGGTGTACAAATACTGAGATTTACGACTGCATGTGTCAGGATGATTGTGGAAAGGGAAGCTTTTTTTTTTTTTTAAAGATTTTATTTATTTATTTGACAGACAGAGATCACAAATAGGCAGAGAGGCAGGCAGAGAGAGAGGAAGGAAAGCAGGCTCCTGCCGAGTAGAGAGCCCGATGCGGGGCTCGATCCCAGGACCCTGAGATCATGACCTGAGCCGAAGGCAGCGGCTTAACCCACTGAGCCACCCAGGTGCCCCGCCTCACCATATTCTTGTTCTGACCCAGAGTTAGCCCTGATTCTAAGGCTGGAAAGGATTATACTATGTACTATCCATATGCAAGTTAAACCTCTAGAAGGATTAGGCACTGGAAAGAGGAGACACAAGGATGACAGTAACCAGGTTAATTTTACTCACCAGGAGGGAGGAAGAGGGCTCCCCGAAGGTGGCCTTCCCGAACTTGGATCCGTTTGACACCAGGTGCTACATACCACCTCTCCAAAGTCAGGCTGACTTTTGGAGCAGTGGTGGCGATGTCCATTAATTGCAAATTTGAATCATAAAGTTTTATTTGGACCAGGAAAGGACTATTCATCACATCTCTTTTCACCAATTTCATTAAAAATTTTTCAGGTTTCAGGGACCAGAAGAGACCCATAGGGTGGACTCCAGAGTAGTCACCTCCCAGCGAAGGGGCCTGCTGCAGGTCTACCTCCCCAGCTTCATTGGCCTTATAGTAGGCTTGAGAATGAAACAGGTTCCCCTTCTCATCTGCCAGGGAGGCCTGAAGAATCACTACTTGAAAGGGAGACAGGCCAGTAGCACGAATGTGCACGGGTTCATCAACAAGTGCACTTGCAGGGGTAGCTGTCAGCTGAATCATTGTTACAGTGAGGCACCTGGGATGATTCTCAGTAATGTTTGTAGTAAGACCTGGATGTAAAAAATATATACATGGGAAAATTAAATAAGACAGTGATAAGATTAATGAAAGGTGAACAAGACCAGGAACCTGGCTGCTTGGGATTCAGCTCTAAAAATATCCTGATATAGGGGCGCCTCGGTTGTTCAGTCCTTAGATGTCTGCCTTCGGCTGGGGTCATCATCCCAGGGTCCTGGGATCGAGCCCTGCATCAAGCTCCCTGCTCAGTGGGGAGCCTTTTTCTCCCCCACCCCCCCCAATCTCCCTCCTTGTGCTCTCTCTCTTTCTGTCAAATAAACAAATACAGGGGCCCCTAGGTGGCTCAGTGGATTAAAGCCTCTGCCTTCAGCTCAGGTCATGATCCCAGGATCCTGGGATCGAGCCCCGCATTGGGCTCTCTGCTCAGTAGGGAGCCTGCTTCCCCCTCTCTTTCTGCCTGCCTCTCTGCCTGCTTGTGATCTCTCTCAAAATAAACAAACAAATAAATAAACAAACAAGTAAATACAAGCTTAAAATAAATAAATAATAAATAAAAATATCCTGATATTATCTGCAAGTGCGAGATACCGGAGAGCTTTTAGCAAATATGTGGAAGACGTAAAACAAGTAGATGCCTTTTATAGTAATTATGAACCAGGGTGGAGGAAGCAGCAGCCAAATAGGCACAAGTGGTATCAGCGCATCCATGGAAGATCTCACAATTGGCCATCCAGAGCCCTTGAAAAATTAAATGCAATAGAGGACAAGAGTTAGATGTGCGGCTGAAAACTGGGTTTGTTGGGGTGCCTGGGTGACTCCGTCGGTTAAAGTTCTGAGTCTTGATTTCAGCTCAGGTCATGATCGTAGGGTCCTGGGATTGAGCCCCATGTCGGGCTCCCTGCTCAACACAGAGTCTGCTTGTCCCTCGCCCTCTGCTCACCCCACTTGCAGTCTCTTCCTCACTCTCACAAATAATTAAATAAATAAATACTCTTTCTTAAAGAAAAAAGAATACAGGGGATTTGTTAAACATCTACATATATGGAACTGGTGACTCTGCTACTAAGAGAGCATGAAAACCAAACAAATCTTCCCAAAAGAATGAGGACGAAATCTTTGGGAAGAACAAGGAGGCTGACATACATGTTTCTCCCTAAAGAAAAAATACTCACAACTTCGTAGTTAGGCTTCTCCAGTCATAAGCAAAACCAGATGCTGACAGAACCTTCAGGTACAGAAAAATTTGCTAAGCATTTCATAATCTCTGTCTTAAAGATTAAGGAATGCCTTTCTCCTTCGGGTTAGTGTGAAGAAAGTCACAAAAATGGTCATTGTTCCCATTCTAATAACCTAAACTTACCTGGAGAAAGACAAAATGAAATTTTTTTGTTGTCTTAAACTCATTAGATTGCCAGGAATCTAAATGAATTAAACTCCAGTGAGTGATAGGTTCCTCCTATGAGAGAGGAAACTTTCTCTTCTACAGAGTGATTTCATCTATGATCAAACAGCAAAAAAGAATCCCCCATAAAGAAAAATGAGGAGAAATGAACAGAACATTTAATGCAATTTTAATGGATGTGTGCAGGCTGTTTTGATAGATTAGAATTCGGAGAGATCCTAGCCAGAGTCCTTCTCCAAGGACTTGGAGATTTGGTCACATACTCTAGGACAATACATCAAAGAATGCTAGCAGAGGCATGAGCTGGGAGCAATCTGTCTGAGGCATTGCAAGTCATTCGTATCATCAAAGCAGCTAACTTCCAAAGGAAGGGGGAGATAGCCAAATAGAGAGATTTCCCTGGGCTTAGAAAGCCAGGAGTGGGACTACAGAGCAAAGACATTTCCTTAGTGACCCTTTTTCTAGAAGAATTCTAAATCAGAGAGAAATATCCTACAATTAGAAAAGCTAGCAACATGGCCATAAAAAGCCAAAGATATCTCGAGAAGTTCACCAATGCTTAGCCTGCAGTTTCTTCTAATGAGGAAGGCCTAATCCCATACCCAGAAATATCTGAAGGCAGTGGTGCACTGACTCAGGTAAAGCAGCAGTGGGGCACCTGGGTGGCTCAGTGGGTTAAAGCCTCTGCCTTCGGCTCAGGTCATGATCTCAGGGTCCTGGGATTGAGCCCAGCCTCCCCTTCTCTCTCTGCCTTCTTGTGATCTCTGTCTGTCAAATAAATAAATAAAATCTTAAAAAAAAAAAAAAAAAGCAGCAGCAAGCCCAGACCCAGGTCAACCACAGGTCAGATGGGTTCAGCCTTTAATTCTTTTTTTTTTTTTAATTTTTTTAAAATTTTTTAAGATTTTTTTTATTTATTTGACAGACAGTTCACAAGTAGGCAGAGAGAGAGGAAGGGAAGCAGGCTCCCCACTGAGCAGAGAGCATGATGCTAGGCTTGATTCCAGAACCCTGGGATCACGACCTGAGCTGAAGGCAGAGGCTTTAACCCGCTGAGCCACCCAGGTGCCCCTCAGCCTTTAATTCTAACATCCTGACACGGTAGGGCTTTGCTCTTTTCTTGAGGTAAATATTACTTATTCTGGTCATTTCTTTTATATGAAATATCTGGAGTATGATTGTAAATATTATAAGACACAAGAGAATCAAGAAAATTGATCCATGATGATGATAAGAGCAAACAGTCCATAGCAAGAGGCACAGAAATAGCCAAGAGAGTGGAATGATTAGAAAGGAACTTTGTTGTGGTGTTTTTGTTTTCGTTTTGGGGGTGTGGTTTAGAAGACATAGAGAGCACCCTTTCCCTTGCCTGTGCTCGCTCTCTCTCTCTCCCAAATAAGTGAAATCTTTAAAAAAGTCTTTAATATGTATACCCACATACACATGTGTGTATTTAAATGCACTTAAAAGACTTTAAAATAAAAATAATAATGTCTTATGGGGTTTAAAGAACACATAGAAATATAATAACAAAAAGGTGGGAATACAGTTAATAGAATTATATTGTTTAAGATTATTATCTTATTATTTTTCAAGCAGTACAAGATTATTTGCTGGCAGACTGTAACAATTTAAAGGCACTATTAGGAGCTCAGCCCAGCCCAGGAAGACAGAGAAAGCTGAGCAGCTTAGGTGTTAAGAGTAGCTGATGAAAGCAGCAAGCTGAAAACAAGAGTCAAGCTTTTAATCACTTACTGTGAGGGAGAAAGTGCCTGATCAAGATAAGGATGAAGGGTCTGCAGTCGGCAGGTCAGCCAGATGTGGGGGTGGGTTCGCTGTTGAGGGAGCCCCAAACCAAGGATCCAGCAGTTCTGAAGTCAGGGTAGAGTGAGGGGAAGGGCTAGAAGTAGAAAAGAACTGGCTGCTGAATGAGAGTGAATGAAAATATCTTCAAGCATTCTTTCGCAAAGAGGCCTCAGCACATATACCTGAAGACTTTGGACGTTGAGCGAAGGTCTGATGATAAACAGAATCCTGGGCAGGAAAGGCAAATATGAGGGTCCAACCAGCCCATGTGACTAGTGACTAGGGAGAACAGTAAGTACCAAGTGTCCAGAGACCTTGCCTCCAACTTTTTTCAGAGATTGCCATGCACTGGTTGTACCCCAAGTCCTGTGCTGGAAGAGTAGCATTCCACCATGATACCTGCCAACTAAAGCCTTGGTAATTGCCTACGGTCAGTTCTGGGAAATCACACATGAGTTTTTAACCAAGAGCTAGACTTCTCAGGTACCTATTATATTCTCTAGAATAACACACACACAAAAATATTTGAGTAACCCCAAAAGAAATAGGTATTCCAGTTACTAGGCTGTGTAATAAACCACTCAAAAACTTAAAGGTGTACAACAGCTGTTTATTGTGCTCCTATGTTCTGCAGGACACCAGGAAAGTGCTCAATGAGATCAGCCATCAGTTGCAAAGACAAAAAGCTTTTGGAGACTACTAAACCAGTTCTCACAACTGTGTAAGATCAAATCCTTGAAGAGTTCTATCCCAGTGGGGTGAAGGAAGCTGAAGGAAAGATGACTGTCAATTGATAATTTAGGCAAGTTCAAATCTGAAACTGCTATTTGCTATACCATGTGTAAATCCTCCTGCATTTTTAGAGAGATGACATTGCTTGGTAAGAGTAGGAATGAGAATGAGTATGTCAGCTGAATTATTCCAGATTAAGAAGGGAAATAGAGTGGTAGTTGAAGGATGGGCCAAGAGTTTGCTTTGTGTCCTACCTCACATTCCTCGAGAACCCTACTTTGAGATAATAAGAACTCAAAAGCAAGTGGTGTACTTTGAGGGATTTCCAGGAAACATGAGCGCCGAGGAACAATGGGAAGTATCTAATAAATTGTTGGTTGAGGGCTGACTGGTGGGGGAAGAAGGAGCCTTAATTTCCCACCACTTCCATCCTGCCATGCTGAGAGGTAAAGTGGACTTTGGAGGCCCCAAAAAACTGTCAGGCACAGGAATCCAAGGTCTGATATTGTGAGTCAGGCCTGTGCACTAATACCACTAGGAGAAGTCTATACAGACAAGGTATTGACAGTATCTGCTAACACTGTGTTCTGTTTTTAATGTGTGTGTGTATGTGTGTGTGTGTGTGTGTGTGTGTTCAGAGGGAGAGAGCGAGAGATGGGGTAGACACGGGCATGAATACATGCTGATGAGAATGAGCCTACAGAGAGACAAGTGCTGAGAATGAAAATCTGATGGTGAATAAGACATTTTTCCCCGAGAAGCTTAAAAACAAGTGATTTTATAGCCCCAAAGTACTCTATTTCCCTTGTAAATTTATTCAAGAATTTGAGTATACATAAGGCACACAGAAATACATGGCAGTCAGGAATGGAATTTATATCTCCAACTCTTAGTAAAATTGATTAGTAGTTCAGTAAGAATTTATCAAGGGTCTACACTATGATAATCATGGAGAGATTAGACACAGTCCTACTTTAAATAAGCCTAAAGGTGTAGACTTCCTTCCATACATTATCCATTAAGTTTCTACTTAAATATCACATGGATCAACCAGTGTTCCTGAACAGAAAGAAAGTAAATGAAAAGTCATTAGCCTTAGTTCAACTTATAATTCTTTTCAAACACCCCTCATATCCTTAGTTTATTACATTTCACTACCAGAAAGCATTCTTGAATTGCATAAATATGTAAGACCTTTAAGAAATATCCTCGCATAATGTAATTCTAACAAACCATTCATCTGACATTAAATCACCCTTCAAATAATATAAAAATAAAACCACAATTCAAAATCCCAGACTAAGAGAGTTTCTTCTACAATATTCTAGGAAACAGTTTTAGAAAGAGGAAAAAATATTAATGGAGATGGGGGAAGATAGAATAAAGAAAAGTTAACAAATAATTTCAGAGTCATTCTTCCCCAGAAATATAAATTCTGGCTTCATATCTTCATAATCACAAGTCCCTGTTGGTATCTTCTGTAAACAAACTCCAACAGAGTTTGTGCCCTTATCTGAGAGCTCTTTGAACTCCATAGCTGAGGTTATAAAATGGGCAAAAAGACTATTTGTCTGCATGAACTGCTAAATTCCAAACACTGAAATTAAGAATCTGACTTTACTTCTCATTCAAGACCTGAGACTTTAACACATTTCCAATCAGCCCAGAGGAGATAGCCCTGATTACAAGCTAAAAAGTACCTGACATATTCCCCTCAAACCTTCCTTTTCCTCAATAAAAAAGAACAGCGCTATCTAGAGTCATCTTATAAGTCAAAACCTCAAATATGTCTTTGCAGTCTAATCAAACTAATTAAGCACTGTCTCCCTCAATAAATAAATAAATAAATAAACAAACAAACAAACAAACGTGGGGTGCTTGTGTGGCTCAGTCTTTGAGCCTCTGTCTTAGGCTCAGGATCAAGCCCACATTGGATTTCCTATTTGGCGGGAAGCCTGCTTCTCTGTCTCCCACTCCCTCTGCTTGTATTTCCTCTCTCACTGGGTCTCTCTGTGCCAAATAAATAAATAAAATCTTAAAAAAAAAAAAAAGAGGAAAGTAAACCCAAATTAGAAGAAAGGAAGTAAGAAAAGTGTATTAGCAATGAAACAGAAAATAAACAGTAGAAAGAAATTAACAAAGACGAATCTGGTTCTTTGAGGAGACCGACAAAATTGATGAACTACAAGCCAGAATGATCAAATAAAAAGAATAAAATTTAAATACCCAAAATGAAAGGGGGTTATCATTGCAGATACAATAGACCATTAAGAGGAAAATAAGAGAATATTAGGAACAATTTTATGCCAACTAATTTGACAACTTAGATGGAGTGAATAAATTCTTTGTAAAATACAATTTAATAAAGAACTGTTTCAAAGTAAAGGAGAGCAAGTGAAGGTGATAACAAAAATGTAAAGTATGAACCACGATTCGATCCTCTATCAGGAGGTAAAATTACTATGAAGGTCATTTCTGGGGCATCAGTGAAATTTGAATATGAACAATGTATGATTAGTATTGCTTCAGTGTTAAATATTTTGAATTTAATATTTCCTGATGGAAAATAAATTTCATGGTAGCTGCAGTTTGCTACTATTCAACTAACATTGGAATTCTGCTGAATCAGAAGTTAATTTTAGAGAATTTTGGACTTAGAAATCATACAAATAAAAACTTTAGGACTTTTGCATTGTGAAATAACCTAATAAAAATAAGATAGAAAAGTGTAGATAAGATAAGCTCATGTTTACAGGTATGACTGAGTTCAAGGTACCTGTCTAATCTCTTAGGATACACACAACACATGTTAATGGGATTACAAATCAAAGAAGTAGGACAGGGGTGTCTGGCTGCCTCAGTCAGGAGAGCACGTGAATCTTAATCTTGATGTCATGAATTCAAGCCCCACTTTGGGTGTAGAGCTTACTTTAAAAAAATATTGCCAAAAAAAAAAAAATACTGCCAAAAGAATGACTTGAGATTAATAAATATTTATAAAGAAAGAAGACCACGTTGCCCATTCCTAGGTTCAAAGTCAAGAAATTTAGTGGAACGACTTCCACTTTTGAGTAAAAGGGAGTTTTATGGCAGACCAATACATAAAGAACTAAAAAAGTTGTATTTTAAAAAATAGATAAAAATAAAAGCAAAAACTGGCAATAACTTAAATATCCGGTAATAGCATATTGGTTGAAAGATTACAGTGGTCCTCCCCACCCTTAGCTAGATTCACTTTCCAATTTGATTTACCATTGGTCAACCCCAATCAGGAAGCAAACAATCCTTCTGATGAAAATCAGGTCAATAGCATCTACCTAATTCTACATCACAACACCTGGGTTATTCACCTCACTTCATCTCATCACAAATAGGCATTTTATCATCTCACCTCATCATAAGGGTGAGTATAGTACAATATATATTTTTTAAAGATTTTATTTATTTATTTGACAGAGAGAAAGAGATCACAAGTAGGCAGAGAGAGGGGGAAACAGGCTCCCCACAGAGCAGAGAGCCTCTGAGATCATGATCTAAGCCAAAGGCAGAGGCTTAGCCCATTGAGCCACCCAGGTGCCCCAGTTTAGCACAATATTTTGAAAGACCACCTTCACATAACTTTCATTACAGCATATTGCTATAATTCTTCTATTTAATATTAGCTATTGCTAATTTCTTACAGTGCCTAATTATAAACTCTCATAGGTCTGAATGTATAGGAAAAAATATAGCATATATAGGGTTAAATACTATCCAGGGTTTCAGCATCCATTGCGGGCCTTGAAATGTATCCCCCCATGGTTAAGAAAGGTCTACTGTACCTAACATTCAATGACAGAATATGTTATTAGTCAAATTTGTTACTCTTAAGACTATCTTAAAATAAGCAGAAATGATCGTAGAGTGAAGGGAATAGGACAATGTGACAGTAAGTTTTAAAATATAGGAAAAAAAGTTTCTTTTCATTTGGAAATACACCAGTATGTTAGTGATTATCTGAGTGGTAAGACCAAAATGGTATTTGCTTTCCCAAATTTTTAAAAATGTGCTTTTTCTAATGAGAAAAATGATGTTAAAATAAAAGAGAGGGAGAAGTCTATTTAGGTGGCTTGAAATACAACTCTCTGTGCAAATCTATTTCTATTAACACTGAATATTTTATTACCAGGTTTTATGTAAATATATTTACTGAGTTGAAAGGCCCAGTTAACTATAATTGAGAACTCTTTTATACAGCAATTACTTAATTTTTTAAAATGTAAACCATTTATAATTATATCATGCTTG